TAGGATGCCTGCACTCGCTGGAGAGACAGAGACAGAAAGTGAGAAATCATCCCCCAGGGGGGTGTCAGCACCACAATCCCTTCGCCTCCATTCTCTTCTTGGGATTTTGGGCATATATGTACACATGCCTGACCCGAGTTTTAAGCTACCGGGTCCAGGACTCAAATTGCGGTTAACTACATGGGAGTCCAGCAACGTAACCATTACACCATCTGCTGGTCCCTAGAAACCATTTCTTAATGTCAGTCATTTATTTAAAGTTTATTTCATTTATTTCTTTTATGAGAGAGAGGGAGATAGTCATCCTGAACAGGGTCTCTTCACGGCCTGATTCTCCCCAGGTTCCCACTCAGGATAGTGGGAGCATTCAGGTCAACCTGGGATCCAAATCCAGTCCTCTCACATGCTTCCATTATTGCGCAGTGGCACCCTACTGCTGTGCCGCCGCCGTGGGTGGTGCCAGTCATTTCTGGATGCAACTAGCTAAGTATAAAATTACACAGTCAAAAAAACCTCATTGGAAAACCGTTTAAAATGAAATTATAGACGGCACAGAGGTAAACACAAGGCTCTGTGACACAATCCCACATAGAAAGGTTCCTAGTTCAAATCTGAAAGCCTCCCTGAGTACGCTGGGCATATGCACGTCCATGATGTGGGATGGGCTGAGGGCTGGGGGGTGGATAGCAGCAGCAAGTCCCTGTGTGTGTGTGTGGGGGTGCTGTCTTTCCTTTTTCTCTGCTTGTCTCTCTTGCTCATAAAAAATATAGGTAAATAAACTTGAAAAAAGGAATACTGTGGCCTGCCCATAGCACAGTGGGTAAAGGAGCAACATCCCACAGACTCATCTCGGTTTGAATCCTGACCCAGTGGCTTGAAAAATACACTGGGCACATGTGTGCACATGCCCAAAGTCCAAATGGAGGGAAAAAAAGGACTGTGGCATGACCAACCCCCACCAGGGGTACTTTCTCTCTGTTTCTCTCTGGCAAGTGCATATGCCTTCTGGCAAAAAAAAAGAAAAAAATCACCTTAAAAAGTGAAGTGAATAAAAATTGGCTCTTAATTTACACTTGCAATTTTTATGAAAAATGTCACACATTTCTTCTGAAACTTATTTCACTTAGCAAACAAGAGTATATGTCTAACCTTCCCACTAGAACGGCTCCCTTAGTGCCAAAACTTAAAAATGACCAGTTAAGAAAGGAGCATACATATTATGATTTTTACTTATCACAGGTATACTTAGTAGTGATTCCTAACAAATTACTTCATTCAAGAATCCAAAGCTCATAGAATTTTGACTTGAGTGCCTTTAAAAAAAAAAAAAAACAACTCTCGCCAATGTTACCTACTGTTAATGGAGTTTTGTTCACATTCTAAGTTTTTTCAAGACATTGAAGTTAAAGTGCTTGGGAGATGTGCTCTATTAGTTAGATTTTCTATGTAGCAAACAGGTTTACGAGTTTATTTGCATTTGTCCACTTACTTTGTTGTAATAATTGCCTTGAACTGAATCTGCCATGGCAAAAGTATATTAAAAAATCTACCTTTTGAGTAAATTTTCCCCTAATTGGAGTAAGTTCTCCCGGTGTTTGAGATTTTTCCCATTCACTAAAATGGAAAGAATTAGACTTCAGTGTTTTAAATCAGGAATAATGTAATATTACAAATTACTTTTACTACTGTTAAGGTTACACTAGATCACCTTGATATATAACCTTATGAGTCATTGAGGGGATTTCATTTTCTCTGTCATTTTTGACTCTGATTTTCCTTGTAACATTAGTCTGTGTTACTGACTTTTTAGAGCTCGTTTTATTTAAGGATGCTAATGTTTTGTGCCATGTATTACAAATTAAATACTGTTTTCCCCCGCCCCCACAAAAATGACCAGTCAAGAAACAAAGGGAAATACCAAAGCAATACCTCACTTTTGGTGAGACTAGTTAGATAAAAGGAAAAACATGCTAAACTACATAAGGGTCACCCCTGCTGGCTAAAGAGGCTTTAACAATAAGCCTCAAGATTTAAAAATTGATGCTGCTATCAATTTGATGACAATTTCATTCTGCATATTTAGAACGTAGATACGGTATCCTCCCCTAAATAAGAGAATACTTACATGTCAAGAAAACAATTGTAAACAAATGTCTTCCAAAAAAATCTCATTATCATCTGTCATTAACATTTAAGAGACTGTTTCACCAAATTATAAAATAACGTCGATCAATAATTCTCAATAGTTCATATTATAAAGGGCATAAAATTTAGAAGTGATTTTTTAAAGAATTATTTTATATAACTTTATTTATTCATTTGTTTATTTATTTATTTTTAATTTGACCAGAAAGGGACAGAAGAGAGAGAGAGGGCAAGTGAGAAAGCAAGCGGCCAGGTCCAGGACTCGAACCACGGTCTGCCATGTGGGACTACAGCACCCTTAACCACCATGCCTCCTGTCAGTCCCTAGAAGTGAAATTTAACAGGAATATGAGTTCACAATGGAGTCACCTAGCAGGTGAAATGCAAACCAAGAAATTTCATACATAGACTTGTTACATGTTTATCTGTACATCTGTAGAATCCACAACCATTAATATTTAGATTCTATTTCTAAAAATATTGGTTTCCAAGCTAAAATCACTCCTGCTTTTTCTGTTAACAAATAGAGAAAATATAAAGAAACACATCTTTTCTTCTGTATCATGCAAATTGGATACATTTAAAAGCAGAAGATAACTGGTCATCCATTCAACACTTATTTTACAGAAGTGTATGTTAAGCAGGCTAGGGTGAGAGAGAGAGAAGCAAAAGGGAGAAGAAAGAAGCAAATCATTTAAGGGACCCAAAATAGAAAGAAATCTGTTGATTATACTGCATATGGTAATATCTTTGACAAAATTAATCTATGGTGTATCCATGATGGGAAAATTCACTTGGTATTTTCTATACTAATACTCAGTGATTGAATGTAAAAAAATAAAGAAAATAAAAACTTCTAAAACACTTCTTCAAAAGTTTATTTTTTTTTTTATTTCTTCCATGAGTGTAAAATAGAAAGAAAGAGAAACTCAAACAGGGACTTGATCCTAGGATCTGTCACCCGTCTCAGCCAGCTCCAGATCACGGGCACACACGTACGTGCCAGAAGTCCTCAGGGAGCTCTGTGGACGTAAATTTTCTCATATGTGGTTCAGCCTTTCAGAGTAGCTTTTTT